GAATATTGTAAAAAAGAAGAGCACAAGTCAACCACACCTCATTGAATTTATGATTCTTTTTATACCTTTTTTTTTCAAAAAATAAGAATTTACGACGTTCATTACAGCGCAAAAAAAAGCAGCTTTATATTTTACAATGAACAATTGAGCATGGAATTTGAGTTGATTTCATTGATATTTTTCATTTTAGCACATTTATTTTTGTTGGTAAATAAAGGGTTGGGAATAGCTGTTAGGAAGCTTATAGTAGGCTAGGAAGTCTTAGAAATTATTGTTTAACTAGAAGTTCCCAAGCTTGAAGCAAACTTAAGAAATATGAATTATTTTTCAAATCCTCAACCAAGTTTTAGATCAAATCAAGCTTTGATGGATAGTACCTTGTTTTTAAGGATAGGATGATTTGCTGTGTTCTAAGCTCTTAACTCAAGCCAACGCCAATGACATCTACAAAATATCATTGAAGTGTCATACATCTCTAGATCTATTGGATGGCCCAATTCCATAAGCACATTACTTTGATAGACTACGACCCCTGAATCATTGATAATCAATTTCCCTCGAATTGCAGAAGTCGGTTAATCGAATAGAAATTCGGAAGCAAGTCAGCGCGACTCTGAAATGGTGCTAGACTCGATTTAAATCCAGCAGCATGCCAGAATTACGCTAGCTAAGTTCAGAATTTTTATTCGATTAACTGACTCGTGCTATTCGGACCCACCTTTTGAATATTTTACTATTCTAGTCAATAAGCTCAAAAACCCGCGTGCCTATCCTCAAAGAATTGATTCCTTAATAATTTCTTACTTGTCTTATGACAAAGACAATTTTGAGCATTAAATGATGCGCGAAAAAAAAGTAAAATAAGTTGATTGAGTTCACATCAGCGATCACCCTCCGCCCAAAGAATACAAATAAACTCTTTAAGCATGAAATTTGAATATATGAATAGAAGAAGGTAAGTATATTTGAATGGAATACATAAATTTTCTATTGCGTGTAATTGTATGCAATTGTATACAATTTGTCATCGTACATGTCAATTCTTTTATTGTTTGACCTAACATAACAGCAAACAAATGACGATGTCTATGAGGCACACACAAAAAAAATGCTCATTTTCACTTTTCACATGATTTTTCCATTCAACTTACTTACATATTTCATCATAAAGCACGAACAGCAAATAATTCGTCATTTACGAAGCAATCACGGTTGATGATATCATGATGAAAAGTCAGTCTTTCTTTTTCTCTCTCTGTTTTTTGTATGCAAAGAATACGCAACAAATTGAATAAATAAAGCGCGAGAGAAAAAGAGACAAACGTCGATGAAGGATTAATTGAAGCGATTTCAACTCAACACAAAATGCTGTTCCATGTTTTATGTTAATTAAATTTCGCATTCAACAAACAGACATGATCATTCACAAAAGACGAATAAGACGAAGATATTAAATAAAATCCATTGTGAAGTGTTTACGCAAATTTTTCTCTTCTTTTCTGCTGCTCATTGTTGGACTAAAATTTCTTTTTCATTGTCCACTTTAAGCTTGGTAGATTTGTGCCTAGCACATTGTCTTTTGGTCAGATGATACATATGATGGTTTTGGTATGCATCACGGTTTACATACATAGTCTAGATCAGTGTTGTCTAAATTGTGTGCCGCGGCACATTTTTGTGAATAACGCGAGCCGGATGCTGTGTGCAACTTTGATCATGGCTTACCCCTAAGATGTGCCGTGGCTCAAAAAAGTTTGGACATTACTTGTCTAGATCATTGATCGAAGTTGCTTAGTTGTCGTAGGACCAATTCTTTTAGACGAGGCACTAGGTTAAGTTGTAGAGGAGGTGAAGATGAAGGGTATTTGCTTACTCTAAAGAAGTAGTAGGAACCAAGATTTAAGGAGTGGGTTTTCCGCTGAAACCTATTCCCAACAGTATAAAATGAGAATGGAACTGCTTCTTTGATGGCATTACTGGGTTTAGACTATTCAAGAGAACCGTGAGTTTTATTTTTGATAGAAATAATTCCAAAAAGCTATATATGTTAGGATGTAATGTCACTAGTCTCAAACCTATAATCGCTGTGCATTCGACACTTTAATTAAGTATAAAAGCATGAAACTACCATGTCACCGAGTAATTTCAGCTCCATGGGTATATCCAAACATCAGCCATACTCTATTCTATTATCAACGAAGACCAGAAACTGCTAAGAATGCGCTTTGTTCCCCACTTAACCCACAGAAAGTCAATCTTATTGTTTATTTTCTGCATGATGATTTTAATGAGAAATTTATTTCATTTTGTTGGAGTTAATAAAAATTCCTCAAAAAAAAAAATGCTGAAATAACCGATTAATTGCAGGAAAAAAGATGTCTATAGATAAAGAAGAAGAGCCTTTGAATGCACAACAAATTGATTAAAATTGCACAATATGAAATAAATAAATAAACACAAATTTATTATCACATATTATTGCGTTACAGTTTCTTTTTCTTTAAATTTTAATAACATGTCACGGCTATTCACTGTTAATTGCAATTGTAAAAGAAGGCACAAAATGTGCCAATTAATTAAAGATTTGTTTTTGTACCGCACCACTTTTTATTGCCACATTCAATTCTGTTGCAGTACAATAAGTGTAAATTGATAAAAAGAGGAGGCAAAAATTAATCCATGACACATTTGCACTTGTTACTGACTCACTGAATGTTACACAGTTCCTCGAAATATTTTTTTTGACCATTCGACAGCAGTATGAATTATAATTTATGGATTTAATTGATTTTTTTTTGCAGCCGCATATTCTTCCTCTTCGATTTGCTCGGTTCCGTTAAGTGAAAGAAATGAAGAAGTGTCGTAAAGATGTTTTAAGATGCGCAGCGATGTGTACAAAATTAATTTAATTTTTCGTACACGGATATTACTCGGATTACCGAATAACTCGAATTTTGATTAAGGTTACGCTCATTAATTACTGTAGAGATGGATTTTGAAAATTTTAAGGAGCTAAATTAATTAACTTTAGGGAACCTAAGCACAAGCAATTAAAATTACGTATTAATAGAGTTTTTGGAATCAAAAGTCAAGAAAATAGAGTGCTTTATAGCTTTGTTATCATCAAGGGGGTCAATAATTTGGTAATAAACACTCGAGTTTTAATTATAGCTACTTGATTTGACTCAAATTCCGTATTATATTCAGGTTAAAGATCTCCAATAATCACGCCTTTAAATACAGGATCTTAATTGCTTTAACATTCTCTAGACTTGAATTATTTAGAACCAAACACAGGTTTATCAATCGAATGACACAATTTTAAATGTTAGCTGCATTTCAGGAAGTCTATCTAGAATGTAGGGATAGATTTTTCATAAAAAGCTTAGTTGACAATGGGCTTTGAACCGACGGCACTTAAACGAAGTTAGAAATTTATCCATTTAGCAACTTTTTAGAAGGCACATGAAGTTTGGAATTTGTTTGGATTTCGTATGGCTTTAATATGAATCCTTTAGACATTTGATTTGAATTGAGCCCTAGTTCTCACAAAAGTAAAAGTTGAAGCGTGGATTGATTTAATTTTAGAAGCTCAAGCACTTCTCTTGTAACTTTAGATTCGGAATTGTAAAGACAAATAATGTTCTCAACTTTAAGAACTTTTGAATCCTTAGTTTGAATAATGAAGCATCTCAAGATGATTCTTATTTATAAGCTTAATAATATCTATAACTTTATAACATTCGACAATTATAAAACTAAACATTTGAGCTTCCCACGAGTTTCTATCCTCAAAATTCACGTGATTAGAATTAGCTGATCATGCAATCCAAAAATCAATTGTTTTCAACTCTAATCTCTATTTCGCGTCGAATTGAAATCGCTAGGTTTGTTTGGTTTATACTGCTTTTACTAAGCACGTCAGTTTGTCAACAATTCCTTCAAATTTTTAACTCAACCGATCTTAATTCCTCAACATACACTAAACAACTGAATTAAGAATTTCCAAAAATATTGAAAAAAGTCAATGAAATCATGTAAGAATTATTATAAAGCTTAATTATGATAAGTCATGGACTGAACGAAGTTCAATGTATCTACGTGAGGAAAAGTTGAATTCCTTGTATTAATCTCAATTAACGTAAGCGATTAGCCGATTAGAAAAACGTTTCACATGGAAACAATTTTCACGTGATTAACAGCGTTTCGTTGATAAGGAGCTATTCCATGGCAATGATTACACCAATTTTTGATTTATTAGTAATTGTTATCACGAGCCTGTGTTCTTTGTGCCTTATTTATGTCTGTAAATTGTAAATAAAAATAACTTTTGGAAATAACAATGTATGCATTTCATTGTTGTTCACGTGATTTGCCTCCTTTCCAACTTTATCGACTGATTTTTTATAATCAAGGGAGGGATGTCAGCCACATTTAATGAAATTGTCTTTATGAATGATATCAATATGATGTTCATGGAATGTTTCCAATGAGTTATTATAGACTTAATTGCAACTGATCTAATTAATCCTAGAGATTAAAGTAAATTTCTAAAGACTAGCAATAAATTAATTACTGTGACTTTGCCGTCTTGATTAGATAAACTAGAGCGTCGTATTATAAAGGAAATATATGAGGAACGGGATTCCTTATGGTCACGTTCAAAGCATGCTTATTTACATGTGAATCAAATATCTTTTTACTGACTTTATCGCGACTCTCAATCAATCAATAGTATTATAATATTAAATTGAATTAAATTGATAAAATTGAAATTTTAGTGAAATGTAGAGAAATATTTAAGGAAAGGCAGTTCTTTTTTTTCGGCAGTTCTGTTCCAAGTCCTTTCAAAGACACTTGGAAAAAAATTCAAAAGTAAAATTAATAAAGTTTATCGAAAGACATTCTTGAATTTTAAATCAAAGTGAGATTTTGTTTATTTTGTTTATTTACAAGATTTCTCAATTTTTGCAGTTCCTTAATCATAAAAAAAAGTCAAAATGTCAATCACCACATATGATCCAGAAGTTCTATGGATTGTCATTGTTGGATTCATCACATCATTCGTTCTTGCTTTTGGAATCGGTGCTAATGATGTTGCAAACTCGTTTGCAACAAGTATTGGAGCTGGAGTTTTAACGTTGAGACAAGCTTGTTACCTGGCCTCAGTTTTTGAAATTCTTGGAGCTATTCTATTAGGATACAAAGTCAGTGATACTGTACGTCGAGGAATTCTTGACATTACAGCATATGATGGTCATGAAAAAGAACTGATGTTAGGGATGTTGTCTGCTCTTATTGGATGTGCTGTGTGGTTGCTTGTCGCAACTTATTTCAAACTTCCAGTATCAACAACACACTCAATTATTGGTGCAACAGTCGGATTTGGCTTGGTCGCTCGAGGACCTGATGGGATCCAATGGGGACAAATTATTACAATTGCAATTTCGTGGGTGGTTTCTCCTATTTTGGCTGGCTTTATATCTGTGGCGATTTACCTACTGTTCTACAAATTCATTCTAAAGGCTCAAGATCCATTCAAAGCTGGATTAGCTGCACTTCCAATCATTTGGGGTGTGGTGTTGTTCATCAATGTTCTCAGTATCACACTTGATGGCTCTAAATGTAAGTAACTGTTTATGTTAAAGGAAATGATGTATTTCAAAAATTTTGATCTTATATTTCAGTGCTTTATTTACACAAGCTTGAATGGTGGCATTCGATGTTGATTTCAATTGCTTTTGCACTTATTGCTATGGTTTGCGTACATTTCTTCATGGTTCCATGGCAAAAAAGAAAGATTCTTGCTCAAGAACCTTATGATAACGACATCAAGCCAACAACAATTGCAACTGTCACAGCAATGGAAAATGGAAAGAAGTCATATCCAAACGATTCAATATCAACGTCTGCAAATTCAGTAGCACCGATTGTTGAGGCTAAGAATGAAGAGGTCCGAGTCAACTTGCTGTTCCATTTCATTCAAATCCTTGCTGCCATCTTCAGTTCATTTGCTCATGGTGGAAATGATGTCGCTAATGCAATCGGACCTTTAATTACAATTTGGCTTGTGTATACACAAGGTTATGCATCAACAAAGGCTGAAACACCAATTTTCTTACTAGCATATGGAGGTCTTGGTATTGTTGTTGGTCTATGGTTTCTGGGACGTCGTGTCGTGGAAACTATGGGATTTAATTTGACTAAACTTACTCCTGTAACGTAAGTTGTTTGCTAAGAATTATATTATGAATTAAGACTGACTGTTTTTTTAATTCCTTTAGTGGTGTCACAATTGAAGCCGGTTCAGCAGCAACTGTCCTTATGGCATCTAAAATTGGAGTTCCAATCTCAACAACGCATTGCAAAGTCGGTGCTGTTGCATTTGTAGGATGGGTCTATGGCAAAACAACTAATCAGCCACTCGATAAAGAAGAGAAAAAGAATCATGTAAATTGGAAACTTTTTGGAAGTATCTTAGGCGCATGGGTGATAACACTGCCAGCAGCTGGCGGTATATCTGCATTCTGTATGTGGTGTTTTGGATATTTGTTGTAATTTATTGCTGTGATCCTCTCATTCCCTAGCAGAAATTTACTAGTAATTTCCTAGTAATTTACTGGATAACTTTCCATTTGCTACTTGCTATTTACTAGTCAAAATCCAAGTTCAAATCATCGCCAAAGACCCGCATTTTCACTTGCTAATTGACTAGTCAATTCGCTTACAATTTAACTAGTAATTTACTAGCAAATTTGTAAAAAATTTAAATGAATATAACCGTTGATTTCCACGTGTTCTTTTGATTTTTTTTATTTGTGTAAATTATTGTAAAAGTATTAGTGTGTACTTAGTTTAATTAATTAAAGTACACTAATACTACGAAAAAAATAAAAAGACTTAATTAAATTAAGTCAAACACTGATGAACGCTTATGACTCGCACGCAAACCTGAGGAAGATAAATAATTAAATTGAATGTTTCATACAAATTTGGATCGAGCTTATAAAGGTGATTTCTGCGCGCTCTTGTGAAGTATATGGCAAATGCCAAATTTAGAACAAAATTTTTTATGATGCAAAAATTTCTTTTTTTGATGATTTTTCGTAGGATTTGAACTTAAGAAGATTTGATCAAACATTTCTCATGGAAATTTGCTAGTAATTTGCTATTAAATAGTAAGTGTAATTTACTAATAGTAAGTTGTTTTAATAATAACTAGTAAATTGCAAGTAGTAAAATAGAAAGACTAGCAATTTGCTAGTTAGTCTCGCTAGGGATTGTTGATAAAAATATAGCCATAGATTTTTAAGCTGTTGTAAATAAGATGCCATAGATATTAAAAAGGTTTTAATGGTAAGGAACAGAAGAATCGCCATAAAATCAAAATAAATTATTTGATGTATGAGTCATAACTTGAAAATGCTGTGTGCATTCCTTCAAACATGCAAGCAAGAAGCATCAAATTTTGCCATCATGTTGTTCTATCCTTGTAGTAACATGATGTCAATCAATTGTCTTTATGAGAATCCTAAAGGATTTTGGGGGTACATCCGATACCTTATCTCTTCATGGAATGTGCCATGAGTTATCACAGACCTTATATAGCAGCTAATTGCAATTAATTCATTTAAAAAGTAAAATTGTAAAGACTGGCTATAAATTAATTAACGTGACTTGATTAGATAAGCAACACAAAAAGCGTCGTAAACTGTTAAGGAACGAGTTGAGGGGCGGGATTCCTTATGTTCACGTGTACAGCATGTTTCTTCACATGTGAATTGAGTCGATAACGACTATTAAGGCAATTCAATAAGCCAATTTTTTTTTGTCGACTATATCGCGTCAGTCAATCAATCAATAGTAATATGTCATCGTAGTGATAAAACTGAAACTTTTTAGTGATATGATAAGCAATATTTAAGGAAAGGCAATTCTATTGTTTCGGCAGTTCTTTTCGAGATATTCCCAAAGACAGTTGTAGGAGAAAAATTCAATTCTACTTGGATTTTTTTCTGCATAAATAAAAAATAATTAAAAGTTACTGAGTGGCTTTTATTGAATTTTAAATTGAGGTAAGTTTTTGTTTATATTTTTATAATAAATATTGTAGGGCATATTGTCAGATTTAAGCCTATAAAGTACACAATCTGATAAGAATTTAATTTTGTTGAATTTTCCACACCCAAAATTAATTAATTGCTCACAAGAACTTCGCCAATTAATTATCAAAGTGTACAAAAATGTCACTAAAATTTTATCGCACGTGCCAAGCCTCATGACATTAAGCTTATCAAAATTCCTTCTTCTTAATTCTTTTACAGTTCTTAAAACACTCTCACAGTCAAAATGTCAATCACTACATATGATCCAGAAGTTCTTTGGATTGTCATTGTTGGATTCATCACGTCATTCGTTCTTGCTTTTGGAATTGGTGCCAATGATGTCGCAAACTCGTTTGCAACAAGTATTGGAGCTGGAGTATTGACATTAAAGCAAGCTTGCTATCTTGGATCAGTTTTTGAAATTCTTGGTGCTATGCTGCTTGGATATAAAGTCAGTGATACTGTGCGGAAAGGAATTCTTGACATTACAGCATATGATGGTCATGAAAAAGAACTGATGCTTGGGATGTTGTCTGCTCTAATTGGATGTGCTGTGTGGTTGCTTGTAGCTACATACTTCAAACTTCCAGTATCAACAACACACTCAATTATTGGTGCAACAGTCGGATTTGGTTTAGTTGCTCGAGGACCTGATGGCATCAAATGGGGACAAATTGGAACAATTGCACTTTCATGGGTGATATCACCCATTATGGCAGGATTTATATCTGTTGCAATTTATTTGATGTTCTACAAATTTATTCTAAAGGCTCATGATCCATTCAAAGCTGGATTAGCTGCACTTCCAATCATTTGGGGTGTCGTATTGTTCATCAACGTTCTCAGTATTACTCTTGATGGTTCAAAATGTAAGAAACTGTGCTTATATTTTAATGAAAAATATCTAATTTTAAATGGTCTTATCCAAAATTTTAGTGCTTTACTTACACAAGCTTGAATGGTGGCACTCAATGTTGATTTCAATTGCTTTTGCACTTATTGCTATGGTTTGCGTACATTTCTTCATGGTTCCATGGCAAAAACGCAAAATATTAGCTGAAGAACCTTATGATAAAAACATCAAGCCAACAACAATTGCAACAATGGAAAATGGAAAGAGCACATTGACTGTCAATTCAATGACAATGTCTGCAAACTCAGTCACACCAATTGTTGCGTCACCTGATGATGAAAAACGTGTCAACTTGCTGTTCCATTTCATTCAAATCCTTGCAGCCATCTTCAGTTCTTTCGCTCATGGTGGAAATGATGTCGCTAATGCAATCGGACCTTTAATTACAATTTGGCTTGTGTATACTCATGGAGAAGCCTCAACAAAAGCTGAGACACCACTTTATTTGCTAGCCTATGGAGGTCTTGGTATTGTGGTTGGTCTATGGTTCCTTGGTCGTCGTGTCATTGAAACTGTTGGATTCAATTTGACTAAACTTACTCCTGTAACGTAAGTTGCTTGCTAAGAGTTATATTATGAATTAAGACTGACTGTTTTTTTAATTTCTTTAGTGGTGTCACAATTGAAGCCGGTTCAGCAGCAACTGTCCTTATGGCATCTAAAATTGGAGTTCCGATCTCAACAACACATTGCAAAGTTGGTGCAGTTGCGTTCGTAGGATGGGCCTATGGCAAAACAACTAATCAACAAGTAGAGAAAGGTGAACTAGTCAATTGGAGACTTTTTGGAAGCATCTTAGGCGCATGGGTGATAACACTGCCTGCAGCTGGTGCGATATCTGCATTTTGTATGTGGTGCTTTGAATTTTTGGTGTAACAAACTACTCATGTTGCTGTGATGCTCTCATTGTTGATAAGAATGTAGAAATAGAGTTTTAAGTTGTTGTAAATAAGATGCCATAGATATTAAGAAACTTTTAATGATAAGGAACGAAAGAATAACCGAATTATCACAAGAAATTGATGAAATAAATTATTTAAAGAATGAGTCACAAATGTAAAAACCTATAAAAATAGCTTGTGTTGTGCTTTAAAATTGTAAACAAGTTGCTTAACATTTCAGCATACGCCAAAGTTCTCCAAAACAACACAAAATGTCATTGAGTGCGACAGAAAAAGTTTAATCGGTGTTATCTTTAAGTGTATTTTGTAGTAAAACATTTGTTAATTGCTCATTGTTTACTGCTTGAATGTTTACAACAATTGCTGTTGGAGGTCATTGATAAATGACGTTAATCAAAAAAATATCACTGAACTTATCCTCCTGACTGCTCTTTTCTTTGGGGCCGTTCACTTATTACGTTCGCGTTTTAGGGGGGAGGGGGGGTTTGAAAAATTGTAACAAAATGTAACATAGGGGGGGGGGGGGGGTCAAGAAGTATGTAAAAAAAACAAATTCATATCAAAAACAAATTTTTCATATTTTTCACCTTTTTAATGGTAAAATAAATTATGAACGTTCAGAGGGGGTTGTGAGTTGTAACATATTGTAACAAGGGGGGGAGGGGGGTGGAAAAAGTAGTTTTTTTGCGTAACGTAATAAGTGAACGGCCCCTTTAATATATGAACGTTATTTTGTCATATACTAACATTCCCCCAAGGGAACACATAGAAATCCCCTAAATAATATTTGATAATTCATACGCTGACAATAAGTTCCGGTTTCATTTGAATCACTTTATGATGATAAAAACGACAGTTTTTGATTAAACAACCTCAAAATTGACATATCAAGGTTTTTTAAAGATGAGATAAAATTCTTCTTTGAGAACATCCAGCATTGATAAGACTTTTTTACACGTATTGTTATAGAAAATCGATGATTCACATTATTGGAATTTCTATTGACGTTTTGTGGATTTTTTGCTGTTTCTCTAATCAATATTGCTTGTTTCACATGTTCCATTTGAAAGTGATAATGTCAAAATTGGGAAAAGTACTGAAATAGTGTGAGAATGAGTTATTAATGTTTAATCAAACTTGAACATGATGCTTTAATATTTGACAGCTAGAATTATATCACAAAACACTCTGTGTCTTTGATTTATTATCTGGTTGGCAGTGGCATAGCTAGTTTTTCAAAGCTAAGTTTTGAAAGATCTGTCTTAGGTGAGAATCGAACCAATGTTCTCACAAAAGAAAATTACAGATATGCGATTGTTGCCTTAACATTCGTGCCACAAAGATCTAGTTCTCGCACTGGCAGATTCACATATATATGGAATGCTACTCCAGATTCCACTCTGCCCCGACAACACACTAATGTATGTATTAGCAAGAAATGATAATTGTCGTGAGTATAATTTTAAGTTAATAAGTTGAAATTCATAACTTACATTAACATGCATCCATTAACGATTTCATTAATTATATGCTGTAATAACTCATTTAGCAAAAACATTTCAGAATGAAGATTTTGATGAAGCTAAGGTTCAAATTCTATAAATGCCGATAGATTTTTAAATTAGAAGCAAAAAATTTTTTTTGATATTTTTATTATCCACCATTTTTCTTCAGATTCACAACTATAGCCATTATCATCATAAACATACGTATTGCAATTAATTATTTATCCTCATAAAAGTCATTCCGAATAACTATGTGATATTAAATTAAAAGCTTTCTGATGTTGATTTAAAATGATTTTTATTTTTTTATTTTTTATTTATTCAATAATTTAATTTATGATTAAACATAAAAAAATATTTCTTATTCTTTTTTAATTGAATAACGAGCAAAAGGGCCACATAAGTTAATTAATGAAATTTAATTGAAATGATTATAAAATAAATTTTCTTTAACTTTAATGAGTTAATTCCAAATTTGGCAGTAAATTTTACAGCAGATGTCAATTCATGGTTTTTGAATGGCTGTGTTGAGGTTTTTATGTTTTATTGTCGCTGCTGGCTGTTTGTAGGGTGGTCAATTGTTATTCATGATTCAGGATGTCTTCGAAAATGAATGTTTATGTTATGATTTGTTTGCTGTAAATCATGTGTGATGTAAATATTTAATGAATTGTGCCTGACTTATTTGGGAATGGACTGCAAGTTTGATAAGAGAACATAATTTATTGGGATGTTTATGCATGAATATTATTAACTTTTGAGGAATATTTATTATAGCTTAATCAAGAACTATTCGAATTTTCTTAATTTATGGTTAATAAATGATAAGATTTTCATGGTTTGTTGAAAAATGATGTCTATAATTTGGTTGGAAGGTCAAGGTCAGTAAGAAGGGGTCTAGAGCAGTATGGCACGTCCAAGTAGTCGTTTTTCACGTAAATGTTGAAGATTAGCATCACAAATAATCACTAAAGCCCTTAGACAGTAGCATTATACGATATCGTATGTCTCTAACCTCAATTTACCTCCCGTAAGGATGTAAAGCTTCATGACGCTCCATTACTAAGCTAAATCCCAATCTCAGATTAGCAAATGACTGTGGGAATGCAAAACAAATCGTCTTCAAATTTTTATGCAATTTCCAACACAACAGAATGAAAAATAATGCACAATTACCATAAAGCGCTCTTCATAATCCATGCCTCATTTATATCTACTATTTACATGAGAAACATCTAAAATGGAAAGGTAAAAGTGCATTCAAGTTGTTAATTGTAAGCAAATTGAAACGACTATTATAAAGTAAACGAACATTCATTAAGTACATATGCATTTATGTCAACCTATCCTGCTTACCTATAGCATTAGATTTGCAAAAAATAAAAATAGAGTCTATAAAATTTATATATGGGATTATTGTATGAACGGCAATAAGGTACACACAAAGAGTAATTTTTCTCATTAAACGCCTTGTAACAAACTACATAAACGCCAAGAGAAAATGTGTATCGTGCAGAGTTCTCTTGGAAATTTTTCAAATACCTTCCAATGTACGTAGAAAAAAAAATTTTTTTTTTAATGAAAATTTCTCGTAATCGTCGCGACAACGTGTGGGATCATCTATCGAATGTGTCTATCAAAGAAGCTTCTATATTTAAAATTGTAATAATCATTAGATGACTGTCGAAACATAAAGGCTAGTCGGGTGTTCGAACTATCGATACCATAAATAAGTTTGGATCTTTGAAACTATGCAGCAGTCAATAGATCATGGAATGATGTTAAGGGAAATGGTGGTGTCAGGTCGCGATCGATTCTACGGATTCAATGTGCTACTTAACTGTGACTAGAGTAAGTGTCTCATGTGTCCCTAGAAACCGACCCCAGTAATGCACCCCTTCTTTTCCCAACAATAGTTTCAATCCAAAACGCAAACAAATTTTTTAAAATTTTCAATAAATATTTCCAGCTATATCACTGAAAGAAAGAGGTATTGGACAATTATAGTCTATAAATCTAACCTCCACTAGACATCACCAGCGACTGACCCCCTTAAAAATGAAAAGTTTTAACTCCGTACCTTTCTTCTCGTGATAATAAAAAATGGTGCAATACATTGCATGAATGTCCAAAAGATAAATAAATATGTGCATGTGTAAAAAGCATTGCCGCAATTTTTTTTTTTTTCTTCAAAAAAGAATTCCTTTCATCGACGATGGCATGAGGGAAATTATTCCACACCAAAGCAGTCGAGTCTTTAACCTGATAAGGTCAATAGTGCAGTGTAGTGAAAAATGAATTATTATAATATAAACAATATGTGACTTCTTACTTTCGAGAGTCTCTTTTTTTAAATAAAAATTATTTTACAGTCAATATATTGGCAGTAAAATGTAAAGAATTCACTACTCAGCAAGCAATAACTTCGTGATTCACAACAATGGTGATTTATTGACCACGAAAAAAATTCTTTTTTCTCTTGCTTAATTTTATATTTTTTTTTCAGGTGACAATGAAAATGGATTGTGTGATGAAAGGGCATGGCATGAGATAGTCAAATGTTAAGTAATACTTGGATGTTAAGCCTTACAAATCGTTGGAATTTATGAGAAGATTCCGAAGGGATAAGATTTATTTTGTACTAAAAATATGCTGGAATTTTTATGAGGCTTAGTAAGTGCTTTGAATAGAGGTAATGGAGTTTTAGACAGAGAGTCTATTTGCTTGCTAATTTTTGGAGTAGCTTCTTATTTTGTAGAAATATTTTAAAACATGGCGTGGACACTCAAAAATACGATGGGATTATTCAGGAATTTTCAATTTTGAACTAGGGGCGACCCTAGTAAAAATCAATTTTGTCACTTTTTTCTTCGAGGGTTTATCCAAATGGATTAAAACTTTGCATAAATATTTTAGTGCTTAAAACAAATACAAATAAAACATCTTAGATTTTTTTTGACCAAAGAACCAAGTAGGAAATACATTTTCAATTTCAAAATCAATTTTGTCACTTTTTTCTTCGAGGGTTTATCCAAATGAATTAAAACTTTGCACAAATATTCAAATGCACAAAACAAATACAAATAAAACATCCTAAAATTTTTTTGGGCAAAGAACTAAGAAGGAAATACATTTTCAATTTTGGACTAGGGGCGACCCTAGTCAAAATCAATTTTGTCACCTTTTTCTTCGAGAACTTATCCAAATGTATTGAAACTTTGCACAAATATTCTAATGCATAAAACAAATACAAATAAAACATCCTAGATTTTTTTGGACCAAAGAACCAAGTAGGAAATACATTTTCAATTTTGGACTAGGGGCGACCCTAGTCAAAATCAATTTTGACACCTTTTTCTTCGAGGGTTTATCCAAATGGATTGAAACTTTGCACAAATATTCTAATGCATAAAACAAATACAAATAAAACATCCTAAAATTTTTTTGGGCAAAGAACTAAGAAGGAAATACATTTTCAATTTCGGACTAGGGGCTACCCTAGTAAAAATCAATTTTGTCACTTTTTTCTTCGAGGGTTTATACAAATGGATTGAAACTTTGCATAAATATTCGAGTGCTTAGAACAAATACAAATAAAACATCCAAAAATTTTTTTGAGCAAAGAACCAAGTAGGAAATACATTTTCAATTTTGGAGGAGGGGCGACCCTAGCCAAATGGATTGAAACTTTGCATAAATATTCTAATGCTTAAAACAAATACAAATAAAACATCCTAGATTTTTTTGGACCAAAGAACCAAGTAGGAAATACATTTTCAATTTTGGACTAGGGGCGACCCTAGTCAAAATCAATTTTGACACCTTTTTCTTCGAGGGTTTATCCAAATGAATTGAAACTTTGCACAAATATTCTAATGCATAAAACAAATACAAATAAAACATCCTAGATTTTTTTGGACCAAAGAACCAAGTAGGAAATACATTTTCAATTTTGGACTAGGGGCGACCCTAGTCAAAATCAATTTTGTCACCTTTTTCTTCGAGAACTTATCCAAATGTATTGAAACTTTGCACAAATATTCTAATGCATAAAACAAATCCAAATAAAACATCCTAGATTTTTTTGGACCAAAGAACCAAGTAGGAAATACATTTTCAATTTTGGACTAGGGGCGACCCTAGTCAAAATCAATTTTGACACCTTTTTCTTCGAGGGTTTATCCAAATGAATTGAAACTTTGCACAAATATTCTAATGCATAAAACAAATACAAATAAAACATCCTAAAATTTTTTTGGGCAAAGAACTAAGAAGGAAATACATTTTCAATTTCGGACTAGGGGCTACCCTAGTAAAAATCAATTTTGTCACTTTTTTCTTCGAGGGTTTATACAAATGGCATAAATAGAAAAATAGAAACTTTGCATAAATATTCTAATGCTTAAAACAAATACAAATAAAACATGTTAAATTTTTTTTGACCAAAGAACCAAGTAGGAAATACATTTTCAATTTTGGACTAGGGGCGACCCTAGTCAAAATCAATTTTGACACTTTTTTCTTCGAGGGTTTATCCAAATGAATTGAAACTTTGCACAAATATTCAAATGCACAAAACAAATACAAATAAAACATCCTAAAATTTTTTTGGGCAAAGAACTAAGAAGGAAATACATTTTCAATTTTGGACTAGGAGCGACCCTAGTCAAAATCAATTTTGTCACCTTTTTCTTCGAGAACTTATCCAAATGTATTGAAACTTTGCACAAATATTCTAATGCATAAAACAAATACAAATAAAACATCCTAGATTTTCTTGGACCAAAGAACCAAGGAGGAAATACATTTTCAATTTTGGACTAGGGGCGACCCTAGTCAAAATCAATTTTGTCACTTTTTTCTTAGAGGGTTTATCCAAATGGATTGAAACTTTGCATAAATATTCGAGTGCTTAGAACAAATACAAATAAAACATCCAAAAATTTTTTTGAGCAAAGAACCAAGTAGGAAATACATTTTCAATTTTGGAGGAGGGGCGACCCTAGCCAAATGGATTGAAACTTTGCATAAATATTCTAATGCTTAAAACAAATACAAATAAAACATGTTGAATTTTTTTTGACCAAAGAACCAAGTAGGAAATACATTTTCAATTTTGGACTAGGGGCGACCCTAGTCAAAATCAATTTTGACACTTTTTTCTTCGAGGGTTTATCCAAATGAATTGAAACTTTGCACAAATATTCAAATGCACAAAACAAATACAAATAAAACATCCTAAAATTTTTTTGGGCAAAGAACTAAGAAGGAAATACATTTTCAATTTTGGACTAGGAGCGACCCTAGTCAAAATCAATTTTGTCACCTTTTTCTTCGAGAACTTATCCAAATGTATTGAAACTTTGCACAAATATTCAAATGCACAAAACAAATACAAATAAAACATCCTAGATTTTTTTGGACCAAAGAACCAAGTTGGAAATACATTTTCAATTTTGGACTAGGGGCGACCCTAGTCAAAATCAATTTTGACACCTTTTTCTTTGAGGGTTTATACAAATGGATTAAAACTTTGCACAAATATTTGAGTGCTTAGAACAAATACAAATAAAACATCCAAAAATTTTTTTGAGCAAAGAACCAAGTAGGAAATACATTTTCAATTTTGGACTAGGGGCGACCCTAGTCAAAATCAATTTTGTCACTTTTTTCTTCGAGGGTTTATCCAAATGGATTGAAACTTTGCATAAATATTCGAGTGCTTAGAACAAATACAAATAAAACATCCAAAAAATTTTTTGAGCAAAGAACCAAGTAGGAAATACATTTTCAATTTTGGAGGAGGGGCGACCCTAGCCAAATGGATTGAAACTTTGCATAAATATTCTAATGCTTAAAACAAATACAAATAAAACATGTTAAATTTTTTTTGACCAAAGAACCAAGTAGGAAATACATTTTCAATTTTGGCACTTTTTTCTTCGAGGGTTTATCCAAATGAATTGAAACTTTGCACAAATATTCAAATGCACAAAACAAATACAAATAAAACATCCTAAAATTTTTTTGGGCAAAGAACTAAGAAGGAAATACATTTTCAATTTTGGACTAGGAGCGACCCTAGTCAAAATCAATTTTGTCACCTTTTTCTTCGAGAACTTATCCAAATGTATTGAAACTTTGCACAAATATTCTAATGCATAAAACAAATACAAATAAAAAATCCTAGATTTTCTTGAACCAAAGAACCAAGTAGGAAATACATTTTCAATTTTGGACTAGGGGCGACCCTAGTCAAAATCAATTTTGACACCTTTTTCTTCGAGGGTTTATCCAAATGAATTGAAACTTTGCACAAATATTCAAATGCACAAAACAAATACAAATAAAACATCTTAAAATTTTTTTGGGCAAAGAACTAAGAAGGAAATACATTTTCAATTTTGGACTAGGAGCGACCCTAGTCAAAATCAATTTTGTCACCTTTTTCTTCGAGAACTTATCCAAATGTATTGAAACTTTGCACAAATATTTTAATGCATAAAACAAATACAAATAAAACATCCTAGATTTTCTTGGACCAAAGAACCAAGTAGGAAATACATTTTCAATTTTGGACTAGGGGCGACCCTAGTCAAAATCAATTTTGACACCTTTTTCTTCGAGGGTTTATCCAAATGTATTGAAACTTTGCACAAATATTCTAATGCATAAAACAAATACAAATAAAACATCCTAGATTTTCTTGGACCAAAGAACCAAGTAGGAAATACATTTTCAGTTTTGGACTAGGAGCGACCCTAGTCAAAATCAATTTTGTCACCTTTTTCTTCGAGAACTTATCCAAATGTATTGAAACTTTGCACAAATATTCTAATGCATAAAACAAATACAAATAAAACATCCTAGATTTTCTTGGACCAAAGAACCAAGTAGGAAATACATTTTCAATTTTGGACTAGGGGCGACCCTAGTAAAAATCAATTTTGTCACTTTTTTCTTCGAGGGTTTATACAAATGGATTGAAACTTTGCATAAATATTCGAGTGCTTAGAACAAATACAAATAAAACATCCAAAAATTTTTTTGAGCAAAGAACCAAGTAGGAAATACATTTTCAATTTTGGAGTAGGGGCGACCCTAGTCAAAATCAATTTTGTCACTTTTTTCTTCGAGGGTTTATCCAAATGGATTGAAACTTTTCATAAATATTCGAGTGCTTAGAACAAATACAAATAAAACATCCAAAAATTTTTTTGAGCAAAGAACCAAGTAGGAAATACATTTTCAATTTTGGACTAGGGGCGACCCTAGTCAAAATCAATTTTGTCACTTTTTTCTTCGAGGGTTTATCCAAATGGATTGAAACTTTGCATAAATATTCGATTGCTAAGAACAAATACAAATAAAACATCCAAAAATTTTTTTGAGCAAAGAACCAAGTAGGAAATACATTTTCAATTTTGGACTAGGGGCGACCCTAGTCAAAATCAATTTTGACACTTTTTTCTTCGAAGGTTTATCCAAATGAATTGAAACTTTGCACAAATATTCAAATGCACAAAACAAATACAAATAAAACATCCTAAAATTTTTTTGGGCAA